GAGGAGAGGCCGCGCCGAACACGCGCTTCAGACGTGCCGCCGCGTTGCTAAGAATAGAGCCAGCGACATCCTGTCATCAAAGAGCGGGGCGGTTTCCACGAGTGGTGCTAAGCGACGGGTAACGCGCGGGACTGGCCCCGGCGGCGCCGGCCGCCCGCCTGGCAGCTCTGCCAGCTCTGCCAGCTAACGGGCGGCCGCCGCCCTTCCCTCCCGGACACTCTCAGCCTGTAATTAAGCCGCAGGTGCAGGCGCACATATGCTAACGTGATTGCCCAACCAAAGGATATACAAAACACTGAAACAGGCAGCGTCTGCGTGCTCAGCATACCTAAGTACTCCTTTTAAATGGTGCCGTTTGGGAGATGCTAAATGTAACATTTTAAAACAAAGATCGCAGTGTGCCTATTGCTACTTTTATCTCACAGCAATGACGTTAGTTGCATGTAACGCTACTGAGTTAAAGAAGCGACTCCTAAGGCTCCTAAATACAAAAGAGAATTCTGTTCTAATCTTGCCACTGCAGCAAACTTCACACACATCACTTCCACACTGATGGTGCACAAGGCATTGGAAATCCTCACCAACTATAAATTGGGAAGCACATCCACCTGGCTCAACTCCTCCCTGGCTGGGAATACAGCACCAGCACATCAGCTGGACCCTGGCCAGCAGGTACACCTGACCATCAGCTTATGATCCTCTGCTCCCAGCAGTGAACCCCAAGTACAGGACTCTGGGCCACTATTACAACAAAATCCATCTTGCTAATAATGCTCCATGTTTTAGTTACAAGAACTTAAAACAGAAACGAGAAAAATTCCATTATGAAACAGCTTTCTTTTGGTGAAAGCAACCAGGAGATCTTTTTCAGTATTTCTCTAGTAGGGGATGCCCCCTTGGATGTCAATAAAACCGAAGCAGAATTCTGCTTCGTTTCTAACTATTGACTTTGAAAGCCTCTGATATCTGTGCAGTTTTTTACATCTGAATTCCAAATTCTATGAAAATGAAAACTTCAGGATTACCGTAAGGAATCTTGGAATTGAACATACTAATTTTTATCATTAACTTACTGGGAGTAATGGAACAAAATGGATAAATTCCTTATGACTTCCATGCTTTACCTGTATAAAATACTTCCCCTTATGACCGTTCAACCTATAAAGATCAAGTACTTTCCATAAGCATAACTGCTTCAAAGCCTTGGGTCATATTTTAGAATCTTAAAAATAAATTACTGATGTAAAGAATAGAATTTGGTGCAATTTCTGTAGCCAACAATTTTGAACTGAAGTAAAACTTGTTCCTTTTATATTTTAAATAGTTTCCTTTAAATAGCATGTAAACTAACAGTTCACTTTAAAATGTAAAGTATGAAAGTTTAGGACCATCAGGTTTAGCTAAGTGTTAAAAGAAAAGCCAGGAATTAAAAAAACTTAAAGCAGCAGTAAAATATTAGTCAATGCCTATGAGAAATGAGTCTGTCCCTTTATTCAGGGTGTCTGTGTTTAATGGTAAGCTGGGATGCATATAAGCTAGTCCAAGCATGAAGGGCAGTAGGACACTCATATGGAAAGCCAACTTTGTCCCTCAGTTATCAAGATAAGAAACCTGTCATTTCTCTCATTCACTCTGTCAGCCTTGAGATACTCCAAGCAGACTTACCTCTGTGTTGTACACCCCATATATCAGGAAGATGAAGAGACCCTGTAAAATAAAATGGAGGGAAAAAGCTGTTAACTCTAATCATTTCAGCAGTAGAAATACCTGAAATAAACTTTCCTGGGAACAGACAAAAGAAGACACACTTCATCAAGGTCAATTTATTTTTCTATTTTTCAACATTATAAGCTGTACCTTGAGCATTTATTTGATAACATGGGTGTGCATCACCTACAGTGTTTGTGGTATTCAGCTGTTTGGCAATAAAATACCTAGCACCAAAGGATCAAAAACATTAATTAGAAAAACTAATTTTATAATTTAATGGGCTTCTGAACAAAACTGCAAATAAAAATTTAAAAGTGAAAACACAAAGATTCTAAAACAAATTGAGGAGTAAACATCCCTAATTCTACTTATTTTTAAACTGAAATTAGGAAAACATATATTACCAAATTCCATAAAAAAATATATCCCTGCATATATGTTGACAAATGTATACATCCCACTTAGTTATTTTAGAAATTTAAGTAAGAGATGTATATGAGGACAGAAAAAAGAAATATTCCAAGTAAGCAAATAGTATACATGATTTATCAAAGCTCTTAACAGCTTGCTTCAGGTTGGTCTATTATCATAGAATCACAGTATCACCTGAGTTGGAAGAGACCTCTAGAGATCATCTAGTCCAAATTATGAGACAAAACAAGGTAGAAAATAATAAAAGACTCACTTCAGTGTTTCCAGGATCTAAGTTAACAGTGCAACATGTTACTGACTCTTGAAATCTGCAGGCAGAATCCTGAAAAACACAGGGAAATTACTAGGAAGAACAGAATAGCAAATGGAAATAAAATGTAAAAATAAAGTTCACTGAGAAAATGCTTTTCTAACTCACATTCACCATGTGCTTATAACCTATTTTTAAATTTATTTGTAAAATTATCCTCTCTTGTAATATTAATATTTAAACTGGACACTTGAATATATCAAGAACATAAACCATGACTTTGAGACAGAAAATCTTGTCTGAAAAGCAGCTGCGTTTGAGTACCAAAGAAATTACAACTTTTTAATTGAACATGCAAATTACTTGAAGATAACTGGATTAATTCTGGATTTCTCATCATTTCTCTAAGTTTACAGTGAAATAAAATTAGTCCTGAGATTAAAGTAAATATACAAGTTATAGGAAGATGAGCACATCATAATTGCATTGAATGTAGGCAATGGGCAGCTGATTAATAGCATTATTCCACATACAGCAACATAAGCAGCATCACAGGTATTTTGTAACTGAATGTTCTACAAAAAAAGTTGTAAACTAAGGCCCTTATTACAAAGCTTTTAAAGAATCATTAAGTTTATTATAGTACTGAAAGCTGCCAGTGAGAGCTTTTAATGTTAATGCTAACAAATCAAAGGTAAATAGTGTAAAAACACATAATTTGAGCATTTTAATTTATTAATCTGATCAGTGCCTGCTTTATATGTGCATAAAAAAAACAGAGGTGTGAAATGTAGACTCTTATTCCTTCCTACCTCCATTTCAAATTCCCAGGATTTTAGGGATTTCCCTCCCAGGCAATTGGCTGAAATCGGTAAATGCCATAGGAAGAGGCAGAGAAGAAAAAGCTGTTGTTAGGATCTAGGGGGAAAAAAAATCCCATCTTAGGCTGCTTCAAGAACTGTGAGCAAAACCACACAATGATTATTATTAAGGTGCTTTTATAAGTGAAAAGCTTTGCCAAAACTGTCAGTCCAAACAATATTGTTTGCTACAATATTACTAAAAAAATACATGGCCAAGTCTTCCAACACAGTAGAATGCTTTGTTTTTAACCTAGATGTGCACAAATAATGTTTTTAATTGCTTTTCAGTCTCTTCTGAATTTTATGAATCTCATATAAGCACAGGTAGACAAACAAGTTAGCTACTTCAGATTGGATATAGAGTAATCTTACTGTAAATTCAGAAACAAATTATTAGACATTCCAGATCTTAAACTGGCATGCCAAATATTTGCTTTTCTTGAGCTTGATATCAGCTCATTTAAATATTTAACTGTTAAAGATATGAAGTGCTGTGGACATTCTTGTCTTAGTTCTTAATCTTGTAGACTTCTGAGATACTTTTTTTGTCTTGTTTTGTGTCTTGTTTTTGTCTTGTGGTGGTTTATTTGCATTAACATCACTGTCATCAACGATTACCTGTACCGTATAGCTTGTGGTCCTTCTGACATGAAATTAGAGAGGTAAAGTTCCTCGTGTGGTTTGAAATGTAAAAAGTAATATGGTGTTACATAATTAATAGTTCAGTTTCTTTAACTCATTAATTGCAAAAAATAAGAACTTCTTAGTTTCTACAGTAGGCCAGGCTGTTACTTGTAGTGTAAGCAGCTGCCTCAACCCTTCAGTTGCTCAGGCTGGTCAGATGTTCTTTGGCTTCTAGGAATTAAGCAGTGTTGTGATTGAGCTGGCAGCTTTACCTACAACTGTTAATTACATCTGTTGTTTTGGGTTTTTTAAAATAATATTTAATTAAGAAACATAGAAGGAACTTGGGTAT